TAAAGCATATTCTTTGTTGTATTTTCCTGTCAAAATAACAGAGTTCATTTAGAATTATTCAGCTTTTAAGAACAAGCAGAAGATATGCCGGTTTCTCGGCAGTGGGAGGAGCTAATCCGCGAACAGCTCTCGTTGGTTGGCGCTCATCTATTACCGTCCCTGTTTTGATTTCAGCAAATCAGTTCGAGCGAACGCTGACAACGTGATTAATATTCATGAACCCAGCAGATAGTAGTAGTAGCAGTAGTAGATCTTTTAATAATAATTACGATTACCTATGACCAACAATATCTTAAACACCACCACAAGTCCTAATCTCAGTTAAAATGACAAATATGCATTCATTCATGGTTACCAAGTTTTAGTTCTAATCACTAGTTCTATCATTAAATAGTGCTTAATTATCATAATATCATAATATAATGCTTGATTGGCTGAAGTTAAGAGTGCACATTCAGTTATTTAAGAAGCTGTTCCATTTTACAAAGATAAGCTGATTGGGTGGAATCATATATGTGTGTGTGTGTGTGTGTAACCATATTTTGGGGACAAATTTGTACCCAAAAGTGAGCAAAACCTGACAAAATCGGCAAAAACCTCAATTTGCGGATGTCCTTTTTTCTAAAACTGTTAAAATAAAGTAAACAAAGTTTTTTTTTACTTTTGAAATTGTAAAAATAATGCATGTGTGTGTGTGTGTGTGTGTGTAAAATAGTATATCAGTCTGGCGAGTAAACAAAAAAAATGTACTAGCCAATGGCGATTATATTGCCAAGGTGTGCGTAGAGGGTTGCATGTAATCACTCAATCAGTGTTTCAACCACAGAAAAATGTCAATAAAACAGCTTGCAAACAAAATATCATGTAGCATTTCATTTACCTCCAGCAAGTCATCAGTGTGCAAAGCTCGTTAGGTCACTAGAGAAATTAAGTCTAGAAGGGAGCATTTCATGAAATATTAGACATTATCCTCATTATATCTTACTTCACCTGTTAGTGATGTCTTAATTATTTAATGTATGCTTAGGGCTGGACGATATGGCCAAAATTGATATCACGATATATTTCTTAATTTCGGTCGATACGATATAATTCCGATATCGATATGAACACTATTTATCTGAAATAGAAATCTTTTGTAACATTATAAATGC